GCCTCCCGTTGTCCCTTAGGACCACCAAAAGAGAGAACGGGTTAGAGGGAACGCCTCCAACGGGATCCACAAGCAAACATCTCCGAAAAACACTTCATAGACAATGCAAATTACAAACAGACTATTACAAGCTCTGAACAGTGGCACAACAAAGGGTAAAATGGTCCATTACAGACCGAAAAGCTCTCGAGCGTGTCCACATGACACAACCTTTATTTACAAGCCTAAAGAGGCCACCAACCCAACTAAAATGGGGCTATTAAGCCTTCGGCCGCCCCTTTACATTCTGTACAAGGCATAAACATGCCAAAAGACACGGACATACATAAGCATTACATCAAACACCTTGTTTAGAAGTTTGTCCGTGACAGACCGTCGGTTTAATATAATTTAATAAAAAATATATGTATTATACTAAAATAATGAATAACATGTTAAAATATTTTTTTACAACTTAGTGAAAGAGAATGATAGGTGGAGAAAGAATAACATGATTTTCTCCCTTTCTAACACTATAATAAAAAACATTTAAATGCCATTATAAATTTTAACTATCCATAATAGTAGAAAAAAAATAAGAATATTTTTTTTAAGATTTAAATGATAGATCTATTTAGTGAACAGGGTTAGAATACGTGCACCTGCGGTACCCAGCCTTTGACCAGGAGGAGGGAAGCGATAAGAGCCGCTGTCCCTTGTGGGGTCCGCCACCATCCACGAGGTACGTGGGTGGGTGGCGAGAAATAATCGTCTTGTGTTGCGTGAGACAGCACGGGGAGAATAATTACTGCAAATTATTTTCGAACGGCGATCCTGACCGCACGTACGTCTCCCCCGACACGAACCACAGCCGTACGATCCCCATTTGCGAGATCACCGAGATGTTCCGGAGTTCCAACACACCTGCACTCTTTGGTATAAATAAGCTCCGAGACGTACCCCAATACAAATTAAACCAAAACAGAACCGGAGAACGAATCCGATCCGCTTCGCCATCTGGCGTTAGGGTTGGGATCCATAAGCTCGCGGATTAGGGTTAGGGTTTGGTGGCGATCCGTATTCTTGTGGAATTTGATTCGATTTCGTGGGGATCAGGCTCGCCCTGGCGACGGATTCTGGTGTTTCTTGTTGATTTCTGGCGGAGGAACCGATGAATGATCCGTCCCAGATGATGAACCGGGGCTTCGGAATCTGGCCGCCTCCGGCGGATGATCCGATGGGCTTCCCGCCCCTGCCCCGTCCGCCACCGTTCGCTGCCGGCGCTGGGGGTGGTAAACCGAGCCGGATGAACTGGAAGGGGAAGAAGGTCGCCGACAAGCGGAAGAAGGCTGACGGGGGAGTCGTCGGCCCGGTTGGCGGCGGCGTCTCCGGCTACAACCCCCTCGGCCTCGGCGAGCACCAGTTCCAGAACCGCGCCAAGGCCCGAAGGTTCTATCCCAAGAAGAAGTTCGTGCGCTTTGCCCCTTTCGCTCCCCGGAACACGACCTCCTTCATCATGCGCGCCAAGAAGGCCGGCGGGATCGCATCGTTGGTGTCGCCGTGCCCAGTTACGCCGACGATCCTCCCGACGCCCAGCTTCTCTCCGACCCGTGAGGGCCTCGTCGACATGGCCAAGGAGGAGTGGGGCGTCGACGGGTACGGTTCGATGAAGGGCCTGATCCGGCTCCGCTCGCCCAACGGCTACGAGATCCGGGCGGGAGGCGGGGAGGAGGAGGACGAGCTCGACGAAGTGTCGAGCGACAGCGATGTTGACCAGTACCTGGATCAGCAGCACCAAGAAGTCGAGCGGCGTCTGGACCATGATGTGAGCCGGTTCGAGATGGTGTACCCCGGGGAGGAACACGGGTCGGGCGCCACTGCCTGTTTGCTGGAGAACAGGGTGGATAACCAGGACACTCACATTGCGAGGCTGGAGGAAGAGAACTTTATGCTAAAGGAGAGGCTTTTCCTGATGGAGAGGGAGATGGGAGACCTCAGGAGGAGGCTGCAATTGCTGGAGACTAGGTGCCACCTGGGGGAGGAACACCATAAGGATAGCGGCGATGGTAACAATAGGGACGTCAGGAATGAAAACAGGAGCACTAACGAGGAGGCTTCAGAGAACGAGGAGGGCGGGGATGTGTGTTCCGACAGGATTGCTGAAGACTGTGATGAGAGTGCCGGCATCCCGATGCGCGAGTGAGAGATGATGGTGGAGGACATGGAAGGGAAGGGGTGAAAATGGTTCTTGTTGTGTACATACACTAGTTTTTCATGTGAAGTCTTCTTTTGATGCTTTTAGTTTATGTGTAGAATGATAAGCACTCGGATGCCAAGTAGACTAATATGTAGTAACTATGGAATCATAAGGAAACTATGTGACTACCAGGATCAGAGAATTGGTTCCTATTCTATGTTTCTGATATATCTTTTTTCCTTTTCGACCAATTTGGATTTGATTATAGAAGCAACCAAATGTAGTAGTAGCCTATAATTGAAGATGATCAGGTTCTTCGATGGTTCATCCTTACTTTTCTTATTGTTATGTTGTTTTATCATTTTCTTTGTTGTTTGATCTAAATAAGAGGTGTTAGATTGATAAGCTGTTATATAATTACTAATTTGTTTTTTAGGAACTTGAAGTCCATCAAATGGATGGTTTCCTGTTGACATAAAACTAAACCATTGATCTTTCTGAATTGCAGGATAATGGGTTGTATTTGAAGATTGAATTCTCAGAAAAGGAAGAGAAGAAGGTTGAATTCAAAAATGCACAGGTGATGTGATTTGAACATACTTTCATGTATTTCATGGGAAGAATGCAGGTAATGATAGACTTGGAATCTTTTTGTGCATGAAGCATGGTGATATTTCAGGTTTCAGGAAAAGGGAAGCCACTTTGGCTCACTCACTCATTTGATGGTCTTGTGTTGGTCACTGTTGCAGTTGAGGATGATTCAGCAGAGATCTCCATTGTTGTATTTGTGTTGGATTGCCGGTTTTGTATGGAGGTAGATGGATGTAAAGCAGCTGGAAAATTTATTTGTCTGGCACAGTTTTTCTCTTGCAGCAAATGACAATCGGTCACCAGATGTTTGATTCATTACTGGAAGAGGACAGGAGAGGTACAAGATGATTCTAGTCCATCTATTATTGTATGATGATGTGGATTGACAAGGTTGCTTGCTCCTAATCTTTTAGATTTGCGAATGTAATGTTCCCAGTGGGGGGAATGCTTTTGACCTGTCATTATGATACCCCAGTTGGTTAAATTTCTTTATTTTTTTATTAGGTTATTAAGAAAAATTAAGAAAATATATCTTAATCAATGGTGTGTTTGTCATGCTTTTGAAGATTCCTTGGAATGTCTTAAATAACCTCAAATTTAAATTCTCTTTCACTTGTTGTTGAGGGCAACTTAGTATCTAAATGACAAATCAGTCAGATTGGTCATGTTCATGGTTTCTTCTAATGCTGAAACCCAAAGCCCCTCTTTTCCCTTGCCTCATCCCTTTCATCAAATTCTCCTTTTTCTGTTGTAATGATCACCATCCATTCACCAACTGGTGGAATCGATGCTTCTTTCCTTCTCTGTTATTATTGTTATTATTATTATTATTGTTTTTGTGATTTGCAGATTTTATGAATGTCAGAATGGTTACCTGTAACTGGAAATACTCCACAATTACTCAGAAGATGAAGGATATGACACTGAGTCAAAAAAGAAAAATGATCACAAGAGCTTGCTATCCGGTAATTGAGTTTTTACCATCTAAACTAACCAAAACTAAGAGGAAGAAAAGATTCATATCAAACACCAAGGCAACACCAGCACCATCAAAAAATAGAGATCAGTTCCTTCGTTTATCTGCTACAATCATGTTTCCTCAACCATCATGAATGTAGTTATTGGCTAGATTGTGATTTACATTGAAAAAGCAAAAGAAAATGACAAGCGAGGGGTAAAAATGGATGAAACCTCACTAAATGTTTCATTTCTTGGGGAGAAAAAACATTATTAGTGCAAGAGACATTGTTCTTTTAAGTTAATAGTGTGACACATAAACAGAACAATGAAGTGCTCAAAATTTGAGGGTCAAAACCTCTCGTGGACTCCTGCAAATTGAACCACCAAAACTTCATGAATATGCTCAGATATCTTCAGGGCCGTTGATCACCTAAACAAGCAACAAAGAACATTGTCACTAATACACTTTGGAGTTAAGCACTAAAATGGAATAATAAAGTCCAACCAAGTATGTTTTGATTTACCTTATTCTCAAGAACAGCTCCGTCAGGAATCTCCAGCTTTACTCCAGATTTTGCGGTGATACTCACATTGCCCTTCACCAACATAAAAAAAGGACATTGATTAGGTGAGGACAATGGAGAAAGACAAAAGTTTGATAATTGCAAGTGCAGTACTTGATATCAGATCAGGAGATGATAGCATGAGAACTTGAGGAGGATGGAAAAAGTTCAGCATTTACTTGCAGAAAAAGAAGCAAAAAAGAAGTTCCACAATAGAATACAGGAGTTGCGCTCTAAGATATTGCTGAAATTGGTTTCATTTTGATAGATGACAACAGTTGTCACGAACTCACATAGCCAAATGACTAAAACGCCCCTCCATATGGCCAATTATTGGAAATTGTTATGAGGCATGGAGGCTATTGCTAAATTTTGCAGTGGTATACAAGTTATTTGTGTTTCTTGGGGAGTATAAAGGATCCGATGGTACTTTATAGCATGGTATGTAATTTTAAATGATATCATTCGATACGGGCGGTATGTACCGGTCCGACGGTATACCAGTACACAGACCGTTCGCTATCGAACGGACCGTGCTACATTGCTACAGTAAGAGAAAATCGTTCGATAAACCTTGGTATACCGTTCGGTACGTCCTAGTGTACCGCTCGGTACACCGGTACCGTACCGTACCGAGCCAATCTCGAAACAACGGTATGATACGATATTACATACCTTGCTTTATAGTGGAAAACTATAATTTTTCCTAATTGTTTTGCATAACTTCTCCGGTATTTGTTTAGGACATCTATGTTGCCGGTGATATAGAGATATTCAATGGTAAAATAAGAGTGATAAAAATGAATCTTGTCAAATGATTCACTTAAGAAGATTGCTCATATCATTAGGAGATCGATAATGCAAGTTATGTGATCAATGCCATTTGTAGTTGCAGCCTTGAAGGTGTATATCTGGTTTACTTCATAATATAAATGTATAATGTAGCTTACTGTCAATACCTATCCTAACAATAATTGCTTGACATAGCAAAAATAAATTACATACCCTATAGCTTATTAACAGAAAAAGAGAGAGAACCCAACATATCAAGTAACAAAAAGCTGATAAACAAGCTAAAACAGAATGAATACCTTCAGTACTATTCCTGCACCAAACCAAACATCACCAGAAACCTTTAAGCTATCAAGCTCCACAATGCTGGGTATTGATTTGAAATGACCAAGGAAGCTGGCAACCTACAAGTAGGGGAATAATTGTTAAATCTTTGGATTCAAATAGCTGAATAAAATCATTTTGATTCATGAACTCACCTTCTTAAATTCAGGCCCGAGTTCAATTGAAGGATTTGCGAGATTTGTTCTGGCTTTATTTCGAATAACAAAGCCATCAACCAGAGTATATAGATCAGACTGCAAGAAAAAGGAAACATTAAGTTTTGTAGTGAAGACAAAACAAAAACTCTTAATACCCATGTGTTCTTCAAAGGTCAGATGGTTTGACTTGAACCTGTACTAGCAGCAAATCTGAGGTTGCCTTCACTGGAAGAAACCTAGACCGAGGAACATTGATGCCAATAGCATGGTCAAAAAACTGTTTCAAGCAAAATTTGAGATGTTTATGATGCAACGAATTGTTTTCTTTTTGCAAGATGTAAAGAATTGTTAACTACAAGACAAAATACTAAAAAGTATATAATCAGTCTAATAATTACTCGAATTGCTGCACCAGCTGCAGTTTCCAATTGAAGAACTTTCACGCCATCTACTTCCTACATGACATTGCTAGCTCAACTTAATCTTGTGCTGTGAGATAGACAAGAAAAGCACCAAAACAAAGAGGCAGTGAAAACAAATAGTTTCTTCAGGTCATTACCTTGGGGTTTGGAATAATCTCCATTTTAAGTGCATTAGCTTCAACAAGCCGTTTAATGGCCTTCAAGTTCACCCATCTGTAATCATGAATGTTTAGAACAAAGAAACAGGACTCGTAATTCATAATGTCAGACATAGACAAGTACTTACAGGTTGTTTGTATTGAAGATTTTGAATTTTTCAATTGACTTGAATTCACTCACCTAACAATATGGGAAAAGCCACATAATGGGTAAGTCAGTCATCTAGCTACATCACATCTAATGAAATTTCAGGAAGAAATGCATTTTCTGGCACAAAAAACAAGAACTTTGTTTTTGCAATGCACTTAAGATGGCACTGAATCTCATGTTGTAAGTTGTAACTCACATGAGCATCAGGAACTTGTGCAATCTCGAGAAGCTGCAATTCATAATGGAGGAAAAGAAAGATTAGACAGGAATAGAAAGTACAACAAAGAGTTCCATAGCACTAATTTACATCCTGAGAAGATGTACAAGGCATAACTAATGCAGACCTTCTTGGAGAGATAGCACATGTATAAGCCAATGTTTCAACATGGTTCTTGATATACATTGACACAACTATCTATGACATTGAATAAAGGTAAAAACTCACATTACAAGCATGCAACAAGTTGTCAAATAACAATCAAAATATTTGCTTGCATTCAAATTATTAATTGCACAATGGACTATCAAAATTCAAAAGATTGCAATCATGAACCATGCTGCGTTCCTGTTACAATGACTTACAAGAATTAAATGTTGAAGGCTGTAGCTATGCTGTGTAAACAAGGACTGTAATTTTCTGAAGGGGGGTTTTAATTACCAACAATATTATATGAAGACCAACCACCATAATAATTTCTCGGGCTAACTATAAATTACCCCCTATAGACCTCATTAGCATCTTGGTCTTTATACTTTAAAAATTTACATTACAATTCTTATAGTTATGACCTCACACTGTTAATTTTATTGATGAAAATACAAAAACGATGGAAAAAAGGATAATTTTAACATCTCAATTATGTTTTTAGTGGTGACAGACAATAACACTTCTAAGGGTCATGGGTGATTTTTTGTAGATGAGGAGAGAGAGTGACGATAAGAAGTGAGGCAAAGGGAGAGGAGGAAGAGGATAACACAGATGCCGACGCTCGACATCTGTATCTGCATCAAAGTGATGCCGCCCTTCCTTATATCGTTATCAACGCCAACGTCAAAGCATCGACATTTGCGTCATCCTCTTCATTCTCTCTCTTTGCCTGACCTCTCACCATTGCTCTTCCTCCACAACAACACCCGAGGCCCCTAACGGTAGCATCGCCTGCCACCATCGAAAATATAATTGAAATATTAAAATTATCTTTTTGCCTATCATTTTCGTGCTTCCGTCGGTAAAATTGATAATGTTAGGATAAATGAAATTAATTATTTTACTTTCATAACTATAAGAATTTAAATATAATTTTTTTAAATATAGGAATCTTAATGCTAAAAAGGTTTAACTACAAGGAGTAATATATAATTAATCCTAATTTCTCAATCTTAATTTTAGCATATGACATTAATAACAAATACACTATATCTTCTACTCAAAACATTTTAATTTTTCGAGCAAAGAGAAAAATATACAACTAAATATATCAAGCCTTCAGTGCATCATATTTGCTTGACTTCGCATTCAGCGACCAAATAGACATTTTAAACATGTTAGATTCAGATAATATTTTTTTCAAAAAAAAAAAAGAAAAAAAAAGAACACACACACAAGCGGAAACCATGAGCATTATATTGACGTGCTAGTTGTTCAAGGATAGATAGCTAAACAGATGATATTCTGTACAAGTTGTGCAATATTGAGAAGGTTCAATAGACAAATAGATCATTTCATTTCCCTTTATTTTTATTTGTTTGAGGAGATGACTCAAAGGAGTAATGTAAAGATGACTCAGTTAGGCAAGCAACAAATCTAACCAAAAGTATCAAAAACTCAGACTAGCTGTTGGACCAACAGCAGATCATAAATATAGTCTCCAAACATTGTGAAACATGAGAACATCAGAAGTTTCACCAAGATAAATTTTGGAGGTGCAGAAAATTCAGTGTAGAAAGACAAGAAAACTGAATAAAGGAAAATCCATGGACATAACTCTTGCCAAGAGAAAAGAAATGAAAATTCACATTATTAGAGTGTAAGCTCCATAGATAATAATACTGCAAGCTGTCAAAAAAGGAGGTAGAGATGAAAGTCGAAGCCAGATAGAAAGGTATATAGACGTAAACAAGCCAGAGTCTTAAAATGAGCAATATAATCTAAAATTACACAAAAGCAGAGGCAGAAAAATCAACATGGTAGCCCTTGGTTGTTATAATCAAGAAAATTACCCATGATTCAGACATGCCTGATATATCTAATGACATAGGAAATTCCAAACTTAAACATAAAGTGTGTAAAACATGGATGTCATGACAAGTCCACCTGGATAATTAAAGTTGCAAATTAATAAATATAATCACAATTAAATGAGTATACATTACAAGATCTTGGTGAACAGTACACATCTTGCAATTAACGATGACAAAGAAATTTTAATTTATGACAATAAAATTTTCTGATACAATTTTGTTTCCAGTTAAACATGCATTATGAGTATATTATTCCTTTTCTTTTCTATTTTGATTTCATCTAGTATATAAGTAACACGTTCCATGTAGCCTCAGATGCATAACTGAAGAATCCAAAATTTTATTTTAGTATTGATAGACCAAATATTGTCACAGATGACTGCAAGTATAACTCATTCCACACTTTTGTTGATTGTGAAATATAAAGCAACCAACAGCAACAAAAAAGAAAATGAACAGATACCAGTGGTTACCATAATGTTCTGATTAAACTAGTCAGTGTATCTGTAAATGATATGTGATATACCATTTACTTTGAATGAAACATATGAAACTGAAGTGTCAAAGGTATAAAGTCCAACTCATATACCTGAACCCTTCCTTCGTATGAGATAAGTGTACCACCTTTAACATCAGCCAAAGTTTTTGGTGTCACCTGAGCACAGTATAAATTTTTGTGCATGTCCTGAACTCAGTGTTATTCTCTATTGAATGAAATAAGCACATACCTCCATACAATATTCATTTTGATTGTGAATCAAGTGGTTCAGAATTTCTGTTGTATTTGGTCAAGGAAACAATATCTCATATTAATATGTTGGTAGCAGATTGGAGAATAAAATGAGCAATTATGAAGGAAAAATAATCAAGGTATTAAAAGGATACTCAAGTCAACTATAGCACCCAAGTTGTCTGAGTTTGCAACAAAAATATACTCTTTACCCTGAAGAATATCAATCATTAAAAGATTTAAAAGAAAAAAAAAATTGAATACAATTAAAACTGTCAGTAAAATATTTAAAATTTAAATAAAAATTAACTTGAAAAAGTTAGCAAGTCATTGTCTTGACTGGCTATTGCAGACCTGTGATAGCAAGGCATCAAGCTTGCCACTGTTCATCAAAGATGGGAAAACATCACCATGGCCAGGAGGGTACCTTCACATTGATATCGAACAAAAACTGAAAGATGTCAAAGAAATTTATGCCAAAAAATGAAAGATGTCAAAGATATTTATGCCAACCTACATAATAAAAAGTAAAGAAATGTCATGGTCAAGGTCTTATATAATGAAGATCTAAATTTCTGACCAATTAATTCTCACTTGAATGCAAGTAAAATTTAAGTACAACTGAGCAATTTTCATACAAAAATATGGAGGGCTGCAGGTCTATATATTTAACCAATATTTTAGCTGAAAAGTAAACCCCATCTTCTTTCCGCAATACTTATTCATTGATAAAAATATTTTTTTTATCAATATAAGTCCATAAGAGAAGGAAAAAACCAGAATGTAGAGAAGCAATCAATAATGCTACTTTCCGATATTCCATCTTTCTGATATCACATTGGAGGCAAACTTCCTAAACATGGATACATAAGCAAGATTAAAAAAAAAAAAAGATGGCAACCAGTAGGACAAATTCCATAAAGATACAAGCATATGTTCTTACTAAATGCAATGAGAAAGGTGAATCTCAAAGATAGTTAGGCTTCAATTAATAATGCAAAAGAAGGTGGTCTTATAATTAAAATACATTCAGACCTCAATATCTGAAATGCGGTTTAATATAACATGTGTCTAGGTGGACCACTGAAAGCACATGATTGATCTGTAGAAGGCATAAAATCAACTTTGACTTCATGTATTAAGGCTATATATCTTTATCTAACAGCTCGAACCAGAAACAGAAGCACATATTATATCTTTGGTTCATTATTTGCAATGAGTAAAGACAACAAAATACGAAGAGTTTTCTTACACAAAAGACAAATTAAGAAACTTGGAAAATATAAGGAATTAGGTGTATACTATATTCTAGGGATAACAAACTTGGAAAATCGATTCAATAGCAAATTCAGTGAATGAATACTAGATGTTGTTGATTGACCCAATCATCCTGTAAAGCATAACAAACACAGAATAAAAGTTCATGGAAAACTTGATACCTAGGGGTCCGGAGAATGAACAGATTGTAGAATACTAGACAGGAAAGAATGAAAAATGATCAATAAACAAATAACTGTCTAATTAACATGGCACTCAACCAAACATTATCTTACTCCACAACCATCATGGAAGTACATAAGATGCTTGGAGCATGGCTTATAATCTACAAACTCTTGGACAAGATTTGAACAGAACATACCAACCATCCTTGCCAGACTGGCCTTTGCTTGGTAATGGCATAAAATCTTCGACAACCAAACGAGGATACTGGCTCTATAGATCAAATAATTGCAGGTTAGGTAACACCGTTCCCAGATTAAAATAGCATACAAGAATTGCGTAGTTGATATAGCTATTCAGAATGATCTGTTAATTCAATTTAGGTAAAACCTGGTTAAATGTATGAATCTTGATATTTGAGTTGGCATATTTCTCCACGATCTTCAGAAACAACCAAATGATCTGTTAGACTTAGCCATGATCTTCTAAAACAATGAAATATCTTAAATAAGGTAAACTGTCCTCACCTTTAGTGTATCATCATGAGTGTTGAAAGAATTCATCAAAAGCAGAGGGACATCACATCCATACTTCTTATTGAGAGACTGCAAAGGATTTTTTATAGTTAAAAAAAATTACAAACCACAGCAAAGTATTTAAAACCAAGTCATTATATTGCCCTTACCTCTATTTGGATAACAATTAGGTCAAGAAAAGTAAATCCATTTCGCACTTCAATGACAGATCTGTAATTACAAGTGAACAATTTCACTATCATCATGATAACATCGAGAGGGGTGTAAAAACATATACCTCATGCAATGACTTGTAGAGTTTGTGCAAACTTTTAAATGAGCTGAGATACAATGTGATATCAAAGAAGATGATATTTGGTATGTGAATATTTTGGGTCAGGGCACTGCTCGAGTGCATTTTAAGTTAAGCCACTTAAGTTGGTTTATGGTTCATAGGTGGTAAACTTTGTTGATTCATTCTTTTGATTCAGATTTCAGAATATATTCACTGAACCATTTATGTTACATCTACAGTAGGTACGATGTTTTGGACATATTAAAAATTTACCTTGGTGTTTACCTAGTCAAAAAAGCTATGGTAGAAAAATTGAAAGCTATGAACTCATAGATAATGTTTTATTTTGTTGGCGCTTTCACATTAACTGTTTGAGATTTTCTTAAATGGAATCTTTAATAGGAATACTATTCACTTTATGTATCAACTAATTTGAACTTTTAGAGAAAATACCATTGATGAAATCATGATAATGGAATCTCAAATTTAGTGGTCAGAATCATGTAATGTAGATTTTACAAATAGCCTCTATATATTAAGGGTGGATACATTGGACCCTCCCCAGAACTCACGTTGGTGGGGGCGATATGCATTGAATTCATACTTTTAATCATGTAATACACAAATCTAGGATGTTGAAGTATTGTAAATCAAAATGAGGAAACTAATCGCAGTTCCAAGGGAGGTAACTGATCCTTGTAACTATGATGCAACCACAATGTGTCTTACACTGATCGTGCTGAAGACCATTAGAAGATGCAATAGAAATCTAAAACAAACATATAGTTAACAAAAAGAACAGTATAAGTCACCCCACTGGTGATGGATATACTAATCCATTTCACTTTATTAGCCAACAAGAGTAGCTTAATCTCTTGTAGCTTCAGTAGAAAATCACAGTTAGTTGCATACTCAACTTATAAGCAAATAGGATCACAAACATTTATACAAGCTACGCATGAAATTGCTCAACACATTACATCTTTTACAGATACAGTAAAACCCTACAGAATAATGATCAGTCAGCCAAATTTTTTATTTTAATCCTCAAAGCATGAAATCCTAATCCTCGGATTCATTCGAGGAAAGCACCAGGATAAGAAAATCTATTTGGTTATTTGTAATGCATCATCATGTTGCATTAAGCACACATCCAAGATAAAAGATAATGCAACAAGAACATGCTTAGGCCTGTCTAGAGTTGACACGCCAATACTGTGGCCAGCTTAAAAGAAGCAAGTGAAGTGCATGACCAGATCCATTTAGACAATGTGGATTGTTAAGAAATCGTCACACAACAATTGAGAGACATGCATATAATGAAAATCAGGGAAACTGATGATTAACGAATTTCCTGTACTCAGTTTGATATAATGATATAAAAAAAATCACAAGGTCAGAGTAATTGGGTTATATGAGCATCACATGATGGAGATGGAAATATGCAGGTGATTCTGAAAAGTGAATAACCAAGAAGAAATTTATTTGTTCAAAAACACAGCTACCTGTACCAGCTAAATGAAGATAGAATACCACAGTTGATAGGTTGATGTAGTTATTTTGTAGTTAATCATGTGGACACATCACATATATAGGTATCAGTGAACTAAGTTGGACCAAGCAAACCGATCAAAGAGTCACCGACCCAGGCATATGCACAAACAATGATGCCTGTGGGCTGCCACAACCTTCAAATGTATTTAGAAGGTTGCATAAAGTACCACCCAGAGACTCCAGTTTCTGGGTTCTCTCTCACAAGGATACTACAATGCTCAGACACTGTGGACATTGTTTGACATACCAAAATGGATGGTTACTGAACCTCGGGCTAGCAAATGACTATATAGATAGAATCTGTACTAGATACTATGAAAGTGTTGCCCAAGAATTTGAAATTGGATATGTAGGTATACGTGGGCATCTTGTAGTAGGAGAAATTACAAACAGGATTTAACAATAAATGACGGTAGAACATGCTGATCTATGTAAATTCTAGCCGATAAGAAACGAAAAGGTCGGCATGATATATACATTCCATAAATACTACCAGTGATCATTCAGAAGGAACAAAAAAAAAGCATTTTGCTTAATAGGTGCATATTTTAAAAAGAAAACTTAATTTAGATGTCATAAATGATAAGCCAACATGAAAGAAAAAGATGATTTACCAAATAGTTTCCGTAAATGCTACTTCTGATCATTCCCACGAGTAAGGAAAAGACCAAAATTTTCAATTGATGTGGCTGCTTATATTTATCAATTTGTTCGACGTAATCATCATGCTAATAATAAAATTATTAGAACCGCTGTTCAAAAAATTCATTGTTAATGGTAAAGAACTGATGCAATAATATTCTTGATGTCGTCTTACTTGGGACCCGTGCAACCCATAGTGGTTCCCAATCCTCCATTGAGCTTAAGCACTGCAAGCTTGTTGAGAAGTGTTTTTGTTGCCTCGATATCTGCATTTTGCCACATTACGATTCAAAACAGCTAAAAGCTCCAATCACCGTAGCTAATCAACAAATTGGCAACAATGCATCTCGGATCCGCCTAAATGAAGAAAATAGACCTTCCGGATGTGACGCCAGGGTATCATAAGGCACGACCACTTCATCAGTAGGAGTCTGAATCTTACTCCACTCGATCTGCTCTGCCTCGCCACTTCAATCCCATTAACACCACCCGAAACAAAGATTTCAATCACCAGAAAAGATAAAACATCCAAAAAACCAGGAAAGTAATATTCCATCACATTAAAACAAGAACAACAGTCTATAGAATGCGTAAGAAAACATCGGAGTTAGGTACTCGATCTTACCTCAGATGGCGAGACACAAGGCTGATGAATCCAGATTTCTCATTTTCGCTGCCATAAAGATGAAGAAAGAACAAAAGAAATCAAAATTCTCAGATTCGATCCGACGCGTTTCAGTTCAATCCATGAATCAAAGAAGAGCAGAAGAAATCCGACTTCGGGCTCACCTGATCTGATCGAAAGCAGCGATCGCGGTTTGGAGCTTCGCGATCTTCACGTCCGCCATTGGGGAACGGGATCGAGATCAAGATCGAGAGAGATCGGGAAAGGGGGTGGAAACGAGATCGGCACCCAACGGACTACTGCGCTATTGAGGTCAGGCGAGGGATGACGAGCCTCCATTTATATTCGAACGGAGGGGGCGAGGGTCTCCGTCAGTTGCAACGGTAACGGAATGTCCGCAGAGTTTGACGGACGTGGACACGTGGCGGGAGCAGGGCGGCGTGGTAAAGTAATCAAAGGGACGTCGATGGCTCACCGAGGTCGTCGTGATTCGTGCCATGGGGACGGACCTAACAGCGTTGCAGCTTGTAACAGGAAAGCAGCACTACGATGCATGTCCATGTTTTGTGTTACTTACGACGTGGTGCAATGCGTGTACTGTTACGAACAAACAAAGCGCAAGAGGAAACAATCTCGTGATCTTAATATAACATAATATAATATAATATAATATAGTATACAATTAAATAAATAAAAACAATTATTATGTCCTTCAAAAATAATAATTTAAATTATTTACCATTTTAAATTTAAATTTTACATGTATCTATGCATACAAAATTCAAAAGTTTGTGTATGCATCCAAATTTTTATTATTTTAGAGAGTTCATTTTTCAAAATTAAGTGAACTTTAGAATGAGCCTTTACCAATACTTTTAAAATTTTTATTTAAATTTTTAAAGACTGATTCAACTTATAAATCGATCTAAATCAGTGAACTAATTCGCCCGATTGATTGATCAACTAAAAAGGATGAAAGTTGTTGTTAGGGGTAGTATTCAAACTAGCTTGAACCAAATTATTATGGATCAAACTAAATTGAATTAGTTTTTTATTCGATTCGATTAAAGTAATAAATCCATATCAAAATCAATTCAGACCTACTTAATCGAATCGATCCAATCCGTTTAGTTTGAGTCAGTTAATCAATTTATCTATTTTAAATAATTTATAATATATATATATATATATGGACCAAAGAGGGCCCATTTTGACTCTACATATGGCCCATAAACAAATGTCTAAGCTCTTGCACCAAAGAAAGAGAATCAAACCTCAAAACACTAATCTCCAAATCGACGTTGCAATCCTTCTATAATATGAAGTCACATCAATCCTCAAGACTCACAATTTCTATCGACATATACCTTATAACAAAAAGGTTTAATCGATGTGATGTCAAATCTGATGAGTAATTGGGCGACGAGATTGATAAGATTGATTTGTATCTCAATACAACCATATCAATCATTGGATGGATTCATAGTCTCATAAAGTGCATCATTCGATTATCTCAATTGCTTACCACATGAAATATTCCGATATTTTGATTATGATTCATTATTTATTTATTGTCATTTCTAACCATGTATTAGAAGTAATGGGCTATTGAGGATCTCTCAAGTAACTTGGCCGAAGACCAATTCGTGGCACCCTCAATACAGCAAATTCAATTAAGTCTTGAGATATTTAAAACCTTAAACCAAGTTTTTGGTATTCCTAGCTTCGCAAGTAATCTTTCCCTTCAAAGATCAGCTTACTTCTATATTCGATTCGTTGGTAATGCCAACAATTATTATTAGATCTTAGTACGACCTTTCAATGTTATCCTATTAATGATATAGTTATCAAACTCGAATTTAATATCGATCACGATTGAGTCAAAAGTATAATAAAAAAATTATATTATAAAAAATTTATATATTATAAAGCTTTTATTTTTGCGAGACATCGAGACTTGTCTGCTGCTTATTTTCGAACTAATCAAATTTCTCTTTTACAAGTCCTATAGAACCTGAGCGAGATTGTAAATTGATTGATCCTTCATGGACACATATCGCAAGGACGCATCATGACTTAGGCAATCCTAGATAGTCTGAGAAATTTCTGTAAGGATACTTCATGACTTATACAATTTTAACTAAGTTTATTATTTTACCGTAAAGGTGCCTCACGGCTTAAACAATTCCAACTAAGTCCGGATGTAATGAGTGTGATCTAAAATGTTTGGCATTATATAAGACTTCTTTACGAAAACACATCCAAATATTATGTATTTAGGATACCATAAATTCTATTATATATATATATATATGGCATAAAGGAAAAAAGAGGGATGGGGTTAGGTATATCTTATGTGGGATCCCAACATGCACATAACAAAAATGCATGTGAGAGGGTCATGCGTGAAACACGAGTAATAATATTATATTGGCACCGTCCATGGCATGGCGGCTAACGACGAACATGAAGTGAACCGACGACAAAACTCTCGAGATTAAACATTCGTACATACCGACAATAACAATGGTTAGAGGTAAGTGAGAGAGAGAGAGAGAGAGAGAGATGGTGACGCTGCGAATTAGATGATATGATGCTCGCTGTGTTGGATCACTTTGAACAGTATGTTTTCGTTTTCTTCTCCGATGGAAGGGATGTAAAGAGTGCCAGATGAAGGACATGATCACATGACCGACACCATTATTGGCTCCGACGAGCACTCGGCAGACGAAGATCACATGGACGGCCCCATTAGAACGGTGCACAGGCTGTTCATGGTGGTCATCCTCGCATTATGTCATGATCCTATTCCTAGTAACTTCACCCACACATCCCATAGCCATCAATGGCAGATTCATCTCACCTACCTATTTACAAGAATATAATAAATTTATTATTATTAATTTTAGTTGGAATATTTTCATCATTGATCTCGAATAGAATAGAACTATTTTCGAATCATTGATCTCGAATAGAATAGAGCTATAACTCGACGAGAATGTCAAGCCCATAAAATTAAGATTAAATTATGATCTAAATATCTAATAAATATATAATTATTAATTATGATCTAAATATTTTGATCAATAATTTAGATTAACAAATTGTATGGTAACTTGTACTGATCATCAACCCTAATCACACCATGTTTTTAATGATAGAGTTTGGTAAAGGGTGATTGTCCACAGTCATGTCGGGTCGCAATCTGAGTTCAGACTTTTTTTGGATTCTTGCTCCGGCATGAATGAACAGTCTATTTTTTGGGGTCCTTCGATAGGAATTGCTCCCATTTCTTATTCTTTCTTTTATCTCAGTTCTTCATCAAGAATACTTTACTGTGAGATGTGATTGGATTTGTGGAGTCCACACTGACAAGTAAGGCATGTCATCAATGGATGGATGAGATGGGGGATTACAAGTTGGCCTCAATTATTGCAGGCTTCACACAACATGTAATTTAGTAGCATAAGTCAGTGTGAGATGTGATGTGGTGCACAAACTCTGTTGTAGTTTGTGGTCTTTCCCTTCAATTAAAGTTAGATAATTATCATCCCATGATCTTTTTATTAGTTTTCTATTGAACAAACATAAATTGTTGGATTTAATTTACAATTAAATGTTTTATGATCTAATAAATAGCAAGTGAGTGGGGCATGGAGAATCACTAAGGTAGATTACCTTGCAATCATCATCTCATTAAGGCAGATTACTATGTGTCCTTTTTTGTGGTGCATGTTTGTCTTAATGTATCTGACTCTTGCAACTTTTCATAAGATGTTGATCTATGCTGCACAATTTCTACTGAAAGTGGGTCTTAATTGTGACACATAATAGCAATAAGGTTGAGACTTAACATCAATCTAATCTTGATTGCTTTTTTCCTTTGAGCTAAAAGACATCTTTTGATCCATTGGTCCATATTTTTGTTTAAGTTGTCACTGTTTGTACCAGCAATAATTGAAAGAAGAGCTCTCTCTTCACCATTCTTGGGAGATCATGAGTGATGGATACCTCCAGTGGAGTCTATTCAACAAAGATCTTGAGGACTTATCCAAGACCTACTTTTACCATCAATGTAATGTATACTTCACTATTTTGGTGGTTTTCATGTGTATTCTTGCATTTATCCTATATGTCTTGGCACATAAACACAAATATGTTCCTGACAAAACTTCCTTCAACCTTAAATCAAACACCAAAAGTGTTTGAAGTTTGCCTTCTAAAATCTTCAAAAATACAAGAAAATCAAATCAAATGCTTGCTATAGTACCCTTAGAGAGCACTGACGCCAGAGAAAGCCTAGTGTTTTGAGAAGTTAACCAGGCATGGAACACGTTGATGTGACCATTTGACCTAATGCCATGGCTTTTCTTGTCACTTTTACAAAGATGAAGCTGATCGAAAGGACTTGTCTTGCTAATTTTTTGATTATAATCCAAAAAAACAAGGTTTCACGTGCCAAAGCATGATCCTTGAAATTTCGCCAAACAGGTGGAGGAAGAAGGTGGCAACTTCGCTTCTCTTTATTTAAGCCTCTCCCGTTGCTGTCCTTTGCCACTTGCACTCGCCGAGACAGAGCAAGCGGGATTCTCCGAGCAATGGCGGACAAGACAGAGGCCGAAGGCAATGGTGCATCTGCTGCTGACACTACCACCACCCATGAGGATGGTCTCATCGACTTCCCCTTTAAGCTGGAGTCACAGTGTCTGCTGTTGCCGCACTATGCCGACTGCTCCAAAGTTGGCTATGTTCTCGAAGGTACCACCATCGTCTTCCTCGGTTCTTGTCATGCTGTTCCTCACCTTCTGCTCGTTTTCCTGCGGCAGGAAGAGCTGTGGTTGGGGTGATACTGCCGGGGGAGACCAAAGAAAGGGCGGTGCTGATCAAGAAAGGAGATGTGATCACCGTGCCCAAAGAAACCTACACATGGTGGTACAACGACGGGGACACCGACTTCTCCATCATATACCTGGGCGACGGCGCCGCCGGTCTCACCCAGGGCTTGATCACCTACTTCTTAGTTGCAGGCCAAGCGGCGGTCTACAATGGCCTCTCCACGGACTTCCTCGCCAAGGCCAGCGGAGTGAGCCAAGAAGCGGCGGCCAAGCTCTTCTCGAGCCAGGCCGGCATCCAGATCATCAAACCGGAGAAGAAGCTGTGCGTCAAGACTCACGACCGCGACCGCCACGGGATCGTCCTGCACGAGGACAGCGCCCGGTTCAGCAACCACGTCCCCTGTGGCGGCCACGTCGTGTCGATGACCAAGGACAACCTCGCCGCCCTGGAAGGGCGGTTCAGGTTCTCCATCAACATCACCAAGCTCGAGCCCAACGCCATGCGCGTCCCGGGGTTCTTCCCCGACATCCAGCTCGTGTACATCACCAGAGGCAGCGGACAAGTTCAGATCAGCGGAGTCAACGGCGCCACCATCATGGACAAGGAGGTGGCAGCAGGATGCGTGTTCGTGGTGCAGAAGTTCTACGTGATGGCGGCGGTCGCGGGCAGCGAGGGGTTGGAGTGGTTCTCCATCATCACCAGTGAGAGGTAACGAGAAGCGACTTAAAGCTTCAGGTCCTTGACGCTCTGATGCGAAGCTCCTCATGCGTTCTCTGCAGGCCCATCTTCCACCCGGTGGTGGGGAAGACGTCGCCGCTGAGCCTCACAAACGCCGACGTCCTCGAAGCATCTCTGGGCGTGACCTCGGACTTGCTGAAGCTCGTGAGGGCGCACGGCAACTCGCATGATGTTATCGTAGCTGCGCCAAAATAAGAGCGACTCCCGGCGTTACCAGATGCGTCTGCTGGAACTAAACTGGTCTCGATCTACCTGCTTTGGTTTGCTTTGGTGTGATGCAATAAGCATTGTCCGATGCAAGGCTGAGAGTGTAATCTGTGAGTGCTTATGTCTCCAATAAGGAGGAGCAATAGTCTCTTCTCTATGATATATTTGATCTGCTTTCTTACCATCGCTCATGGCCGTCAAATATCACTGTGCTACACAGCGCATGGTTGATTGATGTCTGATAAGAGAGACCTGAAAGGGACAGTTCATGGAAGAGAGTGCAAGCAAAAAGGTTCATTAAAGGAAGCACAAGCAAAGGGTCATTCAAAATCCAAGTGATAGTCACAGAATCTCATGTCTAATTCGCTTTACGAACAGCATTTATGGTCACAGAATATCATGTCTGCTGCAATCCAGATGGTCACAAATCTCCTAAGAATACATGATTGTGGGCTGTGTAAAATAAATCACTCTTCCTTTCTCTATAGGATAAAAATAAATAAATGTATCGAGAAATATATTCTTCAAATTTTGGTTTAGTTAATAAATATTGGTAATGATATCTACAATTGTCGACATCAAAAGTTGATGGTATGTTGGATTACCATTATAACTTGCGCGACGTTATTCCGGGGACGACGGTGGTGCACCGGCTGAGAGCTCTGGTTCTTCGACGAGGGGACCAAACCTTCCGAACTCCGCTGCATTGATCTGGAAACATAGCTGTGGAAAGTTGCAACAACTCGGAACCTGTCCACAAGAAAAGATGATATAAATCTTCTTAGTTCCGGGAAAAAGAACACAACTTTATAAGATTGATAACCCATTTTAGATCTGTCAAAAGATGTTCTACCACCTGAAATCATTTGTAATCAAGAGAAAATTGGGGAAGACACAAGCCAATACCTCATCAGAAACCGTTGTCGATCCAAGACAGTGTCTCTGGTCATTCTCCAATCATCTTCAAGTCAAATTAACCCTCAGTTTCAGTAAAAGTCTTAAATATACATCAACAAAAAATTTTGGAAGAGGGAAAGAACTACAAGAATACCTGTGTGAACTGAGAATTACAATTGTGTACACCATAGGATTAGATATAACACATACAAAACATAAAGCTAAAAGACAGATACTAAGATTCTGACATCAACAAAAATGTTAACACAATTGAAAGCTGCCTAGAATTTGCCCAGAAATAACATTTGTTGGCCCACGAGATTTGCATTAAAGCCGCTGCCCCCATAATAAGGGGACAGAATAAAAGTAAAAGTGTATGATTACATTTCTATCCGAAGATTATGAATGATTTTGTGGGAAGAAAATTATGAATGATCTTGTCAAAAAAAATATAGGAAGAAGATACAAGCAACTAAATGGTAACCAGATGGACCAAACTTCAGATGATTAGTTTCTGGGTGACTGTAAGACATCGGCATGCCCCATAAGATGCTGCTTGCTTCTGCACGTTTGTCAGCCCAGTTCTAAGTTGTATATGATCTGGGCAGTCAAGATATCGACCCAAGTATCCGGAAGGCCCGGGAGGCACCAATGCATGCAGTCCTGGCCCCAGATTGCCACAGCGTCCTTCTTGCCCAACCAGATTGCTGGATGTGCATCTGCTCTGAACTCACTCATATGAGTCAGGTCTAGTGACCTTATGTTTGTACCTAGCAATGCTTGTTGAATCAGAGAGTTTACTTCCCTTGCTTCCTTATTGACTCCCTTACGTTTGGTGTCAAACCATGAATCGAGCTGTGGAGGACATCAGATATAACTGTCAAAAACATGTATTCTAACCACAATGTATCTTTCAAAGCTTAGAACAAGATTCAATCAGCATATATACCTCGGTCTCTTTCAGAGGCTCACCGAACACGCAACTGCCATTGTGATCCCATTCCCCACCAAAGAAGTGCCTCGGTGACTGAGTACGCCAAAACTTGAGGGTCTTTTCAGGGACTTCTTTTTCAATGTAGGAGATCATACTATTCAGAACTACCTCGAGTCCGTCTATGATTCCAAGTGGAGGGTCTAATGGTTTTCCTCCCTGATAAAAAACAAGTGGTGTCTCATTTGGGAATTTATCAGTGCCCCACCTGTTTCAGTAGGTTAAGATAACAGCCTTTAATAATTTGGTCCCGTAAACAAAAGTTATAGAGCAATATAATCATCTCAAGAACAGGCAAAGCAGGTTATAACTTATAAGAGTGAGAACTACATGTTTCATAATGAACAACAGATACAGAAACTCCCAAAACATAAGAAACACTTTCATAGTGCAAATAAAATAACATCTATATATGTATACACTTTCGAAAAATATGACCCATCACATGGAAACCAAGAGGTTGAGTCCATGCAAACTATTATTTAATTACAGAGAATGGACCAAATTAAAATATTAGATGAGGTGTTGAACCATGAGAAATAATGGACTGAAACAGAAATGTATGTACATGATCTGATCAAAGTAAAGCTTGAATCAGAACTGTGCACAATAATTAACAACAAATAAAAGGAAAACAATTAACAGAAGGCTGAATTGATGCACAAATTCTACAGTGGACATATATCATTACAGAAGAGTGAACAAAGGGAAGGGGCACTATATTAAAGTGACCAATTCCAAATATTCTGATTTGATAACATTGACATCAAAGTCGATTGGTGACCATAACCTAATTTTGACCACTAGCTGGCCAGAGGTCAATGGCTGATGATCATCATTCATCAATTCTGATTGATCTGAATTACAAATGATCAATGACTGGGATCAAATTATCGATGAATGAACAACCAAAGATCATCGACCGGTAACCATAATTTTACATTACCGACAATTGATGATCTCCAAAATAATCCATTTTTTACAAAAACATTACCACAAAAATATTTTTCTTCAACCATAATTAAAAAAAACAAAATTATTAAGTCAACTTCCAAAAGATAGATCTATCAGAAAGTGATTCTTTTACCTCAAACATTTGTATGCACTTAAATAGGCTCTAAGTTGAACTGATACAACAACTACAACTACAACAAGCTGTAATACCCTAATTATTTGGGGTTGGCTATATGGATCTTCTTCCACCATTGAGCTCGTTTCAAATCAATATTCTTGGTTTAGTTAAGTGCATTTAAAACCTTTAATGATAGTGTTAACAAAGTTTTTTTTATGATTTCTTCTACCTCTTCTCACACCACTGATACTAATTGTCTCATCTCATCTAGCTACAACATAAGATATTATCCCCACTTTTATTGCCTCATGACCACATAAATTAAAGGCAACAAAATTATAGTCAATTAATAATATCGTAGTAGTGTGGATATTACCAAATGAGAAGTAATGTATGACAAAAGCAATGATCTACAAACAAGAAAAGAAACAAAAAAACATCATAGTTACTTCACTTGACAGGCTTTGGAAGAAATATTTGCATCACATGGCCAATGACAATGTAAAATACATATTCATTCAATCTACTTAAAAAAGGCTCGCTAATTGCTTAATTTGCTCTTTTTCTTTAACTTTATTTCTAGAGAGCTTCATCATTTGAAAGGGATCGCTCATTTTTGCTGCTTATGACTACAGATTTGGATATAATTTTAATTTCAATATGTGCATAAATGTTTCCTTCCCAAGGAACAGTACAAGTATTAACCTAGAAATAACCACAATCTAGGAACTTGCATAAGGAAATAAACATTTTTCATGTCTCTCAATAAAAAGTGCATATTTCTTGATATCATTTTGTATTTGTCCACATTCAGTAAAATTTCCTAAAGAATGTTTATAAACATTTAACTTCACACTGATCTCCATGAAACAGTGCAGTGGTCTTCAGTAGACAATTTGTACTACTAGTAATTCCTTAGGGTAGCTTATGAATAGCAAGAGTTTGCAGGATACATTTGTAGAAGAACCAATAGAAGAGTAACATAAGCCTTTAAGCTCCCCAAAGAGCAGCTATGGAAGAAGAATCACATGGACAACATCATCATCTCAGAGTGCAGAAATATCATCCTTAATTGAACAATAATTTGAAAATGTAATGTTGTCAAGTATTAGTGTTAAACATGTTCTCTGCAGGAATTCAACATTGCAAACATGATCAGCAACCCTAGTTAAGTTATACTCAGGAATCTATTTAACATATAATGACAATTAATTGTGACTATAATTTATGCTTGATTTAGTACAATGGAGAATGTAATTTGACATTGATCAAGGAACAAATCCTGCACAGTAAATGCAATACAAGGCTTGAGACCAAGTTTATCCAAACTAAGTTTTAAAGTGGTCCATCTTAAGGCCGTATATAAATGACATAAATTTGGTACACAACTTGAGCCGAGACTATCTTGTAATTGGACCAGTCTGTTGAGTAAGAATGTAATTATTTTCCTTGTACTATTTCTCTGTGTCATGATTCAGCTCTATTAATCAATGGCTGAAATAAATTTCATTTTACTTCATTTCTCATTTGAACATTATTTTAGGGGATATTTTTGCAAATGTCACGTTTGTCAAATGACAATATCATCAATAACCCTAAACTAGTTATAAAAAGAGAATATTAAAAAATGTATAGCAAATATGCAATTAATCAGATGAATACTCCAGATCAGAAAAAGTAAAACACCAAAAGAGAGAGATGAATGTTCATTAATTTTCATAAATATTTTATTTTAAACCTTCAAATAAATGAAGCCTAAATTTGTCACTGAAAAACAGGGCCACACAAAGAGCCAAAAGCTGGCTAATGGCTCAATACATATCACAATATACACTATACATGTTGTGCCATAATGCAAACTTGAATAAATAAAAGCATATCAACTGACTAGGATGCAAATGAAAAATTTAGAAACATTGAACAAGGTTATGGTTCACAAACGCCACTGTCAACAAGCATTCACTGGTTTTGAAATATTTCAGATTTGTGGCTATTTATTCAATAATCTTACTTATAGCAAGGTACCAAATACAAGCACGTCAGAGACATGCTTGCATCTCCACCATGAGGCTGGTGGTCGCTGAGTGGTTATTGGGGTCCATTGCCATTTAACACTGCAGTGTGCCGGTATGTACTGGTCACATCTCAACATCAGCTGGGTTATATATGCTGGTGTGCATCCATTTTTACAGTTATATGATTAGTGCAGGCACTACAAACCAGCATTCCCCAACTCTTTTCACAGACGTGATTAAACCATTCTATCACTTGCCAGGATGAGCAAGGCACAGTAACAAACAAATGACTGGTTGGACCTAGCATGAACCAATGCAGTAGAATGAAAACCAATCACAAAGATGACGTGTATGAAGCAAGAGAAATGCATGATGGAACTTACCAATGCCCAGTATTGAATATCAGGACATCATAGAACTTTGTGACATTAGCCCAGTCATCAGCTGGCACATCAATATCAACTTTATAGGTCCCCTTCACTCCATCTTGACCAAGATGAGCTGAGTTATCCACAGGCTGCCACCTTAAACAACAGGTTTGAGCATGTAAACATCTGACGATTAATGTGACATAAGGAGAAAACAACCCACATGACACAAATAACTACATAGATCAGAACAGACTATTATTTTTGGTGAAAGCTCTGAGATAATTATTATTCTCACCTCTATGCATAAGAAATTTTCATTTACATATTTCAGAAAGCTCAAGGACAATATTTCTGATGAATAATACTGCAATTGTGATTGTGGATGAAGTGTCACATTTAAGATGACATAGGGTCTATATAGTACATAATATGAGCACTAAATCTTGGAGGATGGGAAAAGCTTGTTGCAACCATAACAAAATGAATCATAACAGTGAAGCAGCATGGACCACCAGGGATTAGATGGTATTCTTAGGGCATTCTTTGTTCTCCTAATAAAAATTTATTTAAAGACAACCATCCAATATGATAAGTGTGAAATAAATTTTGATGAGTAAGCACAATTTAGGATACAACCAGTCTAAACTGATAATTACATCCTGTATAATTGCTCCAAGATCATGTATTGGAGCAATTCCTTATTTGATTTATAAAACTAATATTTCTCAAACACAGAAAAAAAAAACTTGTCATTTTCCTCCTTCAGGACTTTTCCCGAATTTGAGGGATATTTCTAATGAATTACTTGCCCTGGTTGTTTGAGCTTAAAAGATAAAGAGCAATGCAGATCTTAAAATTCACTGGCTTTCATGTTAAGTTTCTCTTGCCTATATTTTGAAGAATTTGCAATATAGAATTGTTATCAAGTCAATACCAATTATAATATTTTGTAATTATTCATAGAACCTTCTATATTTGAGTTATGATCCATCATTGACCATGTAACGATTGAAAACTCTTAAATAATGAAGAGGTAATTTGGCCAAGGGAATTTCATTTCCAGCTTTAAGTTTTAAGTGACATGAGATGTTATAACCAGAACTTCATCTTCATGTAGGGAACAAGATGAGATGCTGTTGCATTTGCTGGCCATGTTAAAGGGATACAATGTCGTATTGCCTGCATGGCCATGTTGTACAAATGTGACATTTGTCCCCAAACTTTTGAGACAATTTATTATATAGATGAACAAGTTTTCTATTTAAAGTCTTTTTCTGGAAAATTATATGTAATGGCCATCCTTTCAATTTAAGTGAATGCTGAACAACATTACTCAATATTTTCTACAACAGCCGTGTGAAGCACTAAAAGATATTCGTGCAGTGTCAGAATGTTTAAAGCTAAAGTTAACAACATATTCTCAGTTTTTTTTCCCTATGGGCTTCATTAGAAAATAAGTTCACCAGTTCAAATTCCCTGATACAGTTTATGGGAATCATCAAAAACAGGGTGATCTCACCCCCAGCTTATAATTGATAGAATGAGATAAAGCTTACTTGGTGTTACCTAGCTGCTATTGTGGAGCATATAATGCCCTCTGTAAGAGGAAGGCACCATGATAAGTTATACACCATTTACAAAAATCTTCTGTAATTATGTACCCTTGTAGCATATACACTAAATCCAGGATCACCTGACTTGTCATTGAATTCTTCATCCAGTGATTCGGTATTATATTCACATACACCCGTCAAGCAAGTGCCACATATGTCGCAATTGCCAGTTCAGCTATGTGAAGACTTCCAGATTGAAAACAACCATGAGCATTTAAAATAGCAATATATGAGTCTGCAGATTCTTAAATATATGTTGCATAGTTCTAACACTTGTTCATTAATTCTCACAAAGAAGTCTGGTTTTCACTACCATAGATACTCCGGTGTTGTTACTGTATGGCTCGAAACCAAGATAAGTTACTCGAGTGTCGTTATTGTATAGCTCTATTGATTAGGGATCTTCTAACTTCAAGTTTCACCGCAAATAAAACCCCAAAAGCGAATCCAAGAAGGTGCATTACTAATCTAGCATGAAAGACGTCCTGAATCATGGCTGAAATGATAGCACTCAGCGGAAGTCAAGCTCAAGCCAGAAGCAGATTTGAGATGCATGATCTGAGATCCACAAAGCAAAGCAATGACAAAGAGAAAAAAGAACAATGCCACATACGTGTACTTCGCGAGCAGCACCGCGCGGTGATAAGCCACGACAACATCAAACTTGGGGAAGTAGCCACCCCGCCACGCCCCTTTCCGCTTCCACTTCTTCGCCCCACCATCCGCCGACCTCAGCGTGCATAATAACGCAACCAAGAAGTTCTCGTTCAGCGAATCGCCAACGAACCCGATCTTTCGCCCTCTCATCGAGCCGAGGAACGCCGCTGGGTCGATCCGTGGGATCGGCTGCCCACCACAGCGGTCGGGGAGCCAAACCCAGGAGTTGATGGAATCCATGCCCTCGCGTCCGTTGCGGAGGCAGTTCCAGGCGTTGCGGTGGAAAGGGCAGGAACCGTCGTAGAGGGGCCGCGGGCTGTCGCGGGCCCATCTGCCGGCGGAGAGGTCGGCGGCGGCCGCGCCGCATGGAGGCGGAGGGGGGAGGAGGCGTCGAGAGAAAGAGGAAGGGTGGAGGAGAAAGACGGAGGCGGCGTAGAGGAGGGCGAGAGTGATGATAAGGAGGAGGGAGAGGCGGAGCGCCGGCGAGGGGAAACGAAGGAAATAGGGCGGTGGCGATGTGTTCCGGTGGAGGTGATGAGCCATTTGCGCACATTGCGCTCGAGTCAGGTGCTGATATCAGCCCATTAAGACGAGGGAAAGTTTGGTTCATTGCTTTATTAAAATATTCCGCGATAATTTTAGAATTATATATATGTATATGTATATATATATATTGTATTTTTTTCAAACTTTATAATCCTATGTGATAATAAAATAGAAAAATTAAATTAAATTAAATTAAAAATATATTCACTCAAAGTTATCTTATCAAGATTTAAATCATCAATCTTGCGATTGAATGTTTATTTTAGTCATCCGACTTTTTCAATAGTGTTACAAAGATAATTCTCTTAGTTTATTATTATTATTATTATTATTATTATTATTATTATTATTATTATTATTATTAGTTAAATTGATGATAGTGAGGTAGAGACCTAGAATGTAATCCTTCAACTTCTCATACGTATCCTGGTACTCTTCGATCTATTAGAAATCTTTTGGATTATTCAATGCTTAAAAGAAAGAAAGATACCTATAATTAGGTAGGCGAGCTATCGGGACGACTATACAAGAGCCATTCGAACTACTGAACCTCAACAATGAACTATACTCGTAACAATTTATCTATTTCCTCACTGATTGGTTGTTAGCGATCAAGAGCAAACTAACGAGACATTTGCTTCATCGATTATGCCTCGAGGAGAATATTCAGATGATGCTGAGTTACATTGGGATCGATTCCCGATATGTCTCATGACGATCATATAAATCTCACAGGAAGTTGATGAGCTACACTTGCTTCTCCTTAGGAAGGGTCGCCTCGACCTTAACAATTTGATCGGATTGGGCTTTTTATCTAAAGGTGCTTCAATCAGTAGCTCTACTAGCTTAGCATGTGGGATATACTTGCCAAGTCTCAAGGGTCCATAGGTGGTGCCTTAGGTTGGACTTTCTTTGGTAGGGAGACTATCATCGGGTAGCATTGGCATGACTCCATCGGTTTACCTCTCAACTCTCCAATGTCAGTTCTCATTGAGAACTTAATCACCATATGGTAAGTCAACACCATCGCCTTTATTCTGTTTACGTGTATGATCACATTTTATGTCAAGAAAATATCTACCATCATGAACTTAATCAATATTATCTTGGAGTAAGGCTCGCTATGACTTATAAGTTTACAATCCTAAGAGGGGAGATGGAGTCACTGATGAACACAATCAGCGAAGAAGTCATTGAAGTAAGGTCATTAGTTTATAACCTAATTTTTTTAAAAGTATTTAATTAAATGATGTCAGTAGAACTGTCTATGTCGATCATGACCCTCTTCATTCGAGTGTTAATTATCCTCATAGAGGCCACTAAGGCATCATTATGATTCGGGTTAAGGTACTATATCTTTTCCTCCTTAAAAGTTATCTTTGGGTCACCCTCTATCTTCTGGCATTCTTTAATGGTAGATCTTACGGCTCGAGAAGCTATCCACCCGTCCCCTCGAGGTAGGTTTACTAATGATGACATCAATCTGCCTCTCCACTAGCCCCTAAGGTTAGGGTGAGAGTTTTAAATGCTTTCGAATAAGTTGCTCAAGGTGCCTCATTGTATAAGCTCTTTAATTTAGTCTTCCAGGTCACAACATTTTTTGACATTGTGATGTGATTATAATCTCAGTGGAACCGACAGTACTTGGACTTATCTCTTTTGCCAGTTAAGTTTTCATTGGTTGGGGGCCTCTTAAGAGCTCATTTTTCGTTATCTGTAAGAAAGTTTTAGTTTCACTTATGTTTAGAGAGGTTAGCTTGAGCCTTAGGTGAGGTAACTTTGGTTGCTTATTTCTTTTTCACCGTGATGACATTTAGGTCGGGCTAATTATGGCCACTCCTGTTGCAGCCTCTTGTATGGTTCCTAACACTTATATAAGATCATTGTCTCGACGATAATATATTGATTGACTATTTAAAGTACCTTAGGTACAATCGTTAATGACCTCTTTATCATAGACCAAAATAGATGAGAGAACTTGACACCATCATAAAAGTATATATTAAGAGTGATAGATGAGTATCTACGTTATGCTAGTTACATATATCCTATAAGTCAATCATGTGAGTGATGACATGTGTAACATGCTACACGGTCTTTTTGGTTATCATTATTATTATTATTATTGTTATGATAATTTTCTCACTTTATATTGTCTGATTGATATATTGTGATGTCTATAGATCTATACAATGAGAATTGGATTATGATGAGATCAGGATAATGAGATAAATTTGCCTATAAACACATACTCTAAATATTCTTTGTCATAGATTACTCGTGAGGGACATCTGCTAGTCATAAGTACCCTATAAGCCAATCACGTGAGTGATGACATGTGTGACTTAACACGCAAACTCTTTGGTTATTATTATTATTTGGTATTTTATCACTTTATATTATATGTTGCTCGAATATATTGTGATGTATATGAATCTGTGCAATGGGAATCAGATCGTGATGAGATCACGATAGTAAGACTAATTCGCATTTAAACACATATTCTAAATAATCTCGGTCATATGTTACTCGAAAGGGACATCAAGATAACTGGACAGACTGGTGTGTTGTATGCCCGTCTATATGATGGATGCAGCTAGTCTCATAGTTGCTCGTGTGGGGACACTAGGGACACAATACAAGTACTAATTAAAGAATGAGTTCATCGATTGATCTACTTACGGAATACTGGATAGTTGATGATGCCTTATTGTCAAACAGTGATTTCGTAGTCCTAATGGTGTATATGGTCCCTAGACTTGAGACGTCAAGGATATCCTGTATGAGTACTCCACTCTTTGATACCATACTTATAGGTCTGGAGGTTCCAGGTCTAGCACAACCGGACATTGGGAGTGATAGTCAACCTTACAATGACTATTCAGTATCGATAGAGGATCATTCACTCTTGATGTCATGAGAGAAATATCTCATGTGTTCTTGCTCAAACAAATCCATGGCCAAGGTCATTCAGATTGAGAGAGAAAGAGTTCTCCGGGAGAATCCGATTTGAGCGAGACTCGAGTAGAAACCGTATGGGTCTGATAGCACCATGCCTGGTATTCGCTCTCTGAGATATTAGATGAATGAGGGACTATAGGTACATTGTAACTGAGGACAAATATGTCCAATGGATTGGATTCTCCTGTATCGTCTGGGGACTACGGCGTAGTAGCATAGTACATCCGTAGTCGATGAGTTGAGTGAATCATTATAAAGATAATAATTCATTGAGCTAGAAGGAGTTCTGACATATATGACTCATGGCCAGCTTGATATTGGGCCTAGAGGGTCACACACATATGATAGGCGTTGCGATGAGTAGAGATTCAGATATGAGATATCCGCCGGAGCCCTTATCTCATTGGATATCCAATAAGCCCATGAATTATTAGATCTGAGATCCAATAAAAGCCCATGAGAGATTATTAGATAGAGATCCACTAATCTAAGAGGCTTAGGTAGTTGGATGGAGATCCAATACCAAATAGGGCAGAAACCATTATGGTTAAGTTGATAAGTGACCTTTATAAATAGGAGGGATTCAATGGTTCATATGCTAGAAACTTTTTGGATTGCCTCTCCTATTCTCCTTCCCTTCTCCTCCTCAGACCAGGCATGGAGTTTCGATGAGTGTCGTCGCAGCCCTATTGTATGGATCACCGCTAGAGAGGAGGACGCTTAATCTCTTTCACCCTCTCCTAAGGATCTATAGGGATTCAGGGATATATGATCTCCCTAGGTAACATAATCTTTACTATACGTAGTTTTTTGTTTTACGAATTTTGCGCATTAATCTTCGTATGACGATGAATATATCTTTGGGAAATTTGAGATTTTGTTTTTAATATTCTTCCGCTACGCATGTGATATCGTCCCTCAAATTTCCTAACAGTAGTATTAAAGCCAGATTGTTCATAGGAAAGATTAGTTTTGAACTGCATGTGTTATGTTTTGAAGAAGTATTTGACGTCAAAATCATTGATGCAAAAGGGGCAGCAATTGTTGTTGCCCTCGCAGATGGCAGCTTGCTACCGTCTGTGTGCGTGCAGCGACAGGCACAGGCAGGCAGCATAGTGCCAGCGCATGCACAAGCGTTGCACGTGTAGCAGCAGGCTTGCGACCGATGGGGCCTAGCAGCCCGCAGCTGCCCCACCCGCGGGCACTGCTTGCAAGGGTGGCGCTCGCCCGCGGGGGAGCCACCCGCAATGGGTGGTGCCTGCGAGCGTTGCCCCGACAAGGTGCAGTGCCTGCAGGCGCTGTCCCCGTGGGCAGAACCACTCGTTGCCCGCGGGGGCAGTGGCGCCTGTAGGTGGTGCACCTGCGGGCACAACGCCCGCAGGGGCGGCGGCCCTGCTACCGCCGTAGAGGGACGTCGTCGGCAGTGTGGCGGCGACCGCAACAAGCAGCAAAGATGGGGATTTACGATTTTCTAGGCAAAAGATAATTTTGCCTTTATAAATTTGAGAAATTTCTATTTTTATCAAAATTAAGAAAATACCCTTCATAATTCAAAAATTCCCTACATGTCCCTAATTTCAGAAAATAATAATTAATTAAAAATTTTAATTAATTATTATTACTTTTATTATCTAGTAGTCCTATATGATGATGATGTGTACATGTGATGTATGATATGTGGACGGATGATTATTGACCGTGTGATATGTGTAACTGTGATTATTATTATTGGGGCATACAAGCTTTCATTTTATTTCTCATTTATTGTTGGGTTTATGTACTTATGATTAAGTTGTAATCAAACGATTGGCGCAATAGGAGAGTGGAAGTGATAACGGGACCCACGAGACGGACAATCACGATGCATAAAAATACGTCGAAATGTCGACGGAACCGACGAGAATGAGATGGGTGATCACAAGGCAATGAGATGCATCACTATACACATAGATCTTGATGTGAGTGATTAGACCCACTAGCTCAGACCTAATCACATAAGGCTGTGTGGTCCATGATCTTCTGGTGTGATTGCTCATGTGATGTGTGATTGCTTATACACATATTATATATGTATATATATCTGGATGAGATATAAATATATATTAAATATGTATATATGTGATATGTCATATTATGAGACCAAATCAAAGAAACCCCTCTCTCGATAATATTAAGTCGGTAAACGTGAGACAATTAGATTGACCCACGTGGCCTTCCATCATTATATGTGACCTTGTACATCCAGAATTAAATCGAACCATGCTGATTCTTCGACCATCCTTTCCTTTTTCACTCCGTTATTCTATGCCCTTATTTTGCCTTGTTATTATCTCTAGCGTTATAAGCTTTTCCGATCATTCCCCGACGCGTTTCTTTTCTAAGACGAACGCGTGGCCGAATTGATTGATGAAGTAGGGTTGATGAGTTCCACCGACGCTGACCACAACCATCGTCGTTCATTACTGCGTGCTACTGGGAAGGAAACAACCACGACCACGGGAGAGAGAGCGAGCGACGAATGGGTAACGCAGCCACCCCCACCACACAGATAGCCATGCTTTTACTTGGAGGCTCGTGATTTGCCGGATTCCATCCGTCCCTATGTCGTCATCCGCGGGGTAGGACGGGCGCCCCTCGCCACCCGACGTATCCCTTGTGGAATCGATCGCTTTCTTTGATTGAAGCCACCTGTGGTGATGTGTTTCTGATGCGATGTGAAGCGAGTCTGCATCAAAGCAGTGTCACCTGTTTATCGAGAGAAACATATTAGATGCATGCATGATCTACGGCAACGGCCACTCTTATCTTTATCTTCTTTCCCTCACCTTCATCGAGGATTTCCTTCAACAAAATAGATAGATTTTCTCATAATCGTAGAAATCATATCTTCTATCAAATACATCACTTATTCTTAAACAATTTATGATTTAAGAAATATAAAATTACATTAATATATAAACAAACATATCAAGCAACAAGACAACAATTAGCTTTATAGATTTTAGGCTGATTAGAGCGACGTTGCATCACATGTTACGATCAGTCGTCAGCAGCCTTCTCAGCACGACCAACACGTGCACCACTATGCCGCACACGAACCCGAGCGCAGCGCTGGAGCCAACCAGCGACACCGCGGCGCAGATGAGCATCACGAACGACTCCGCCTTGCTCGACATGTCCCTCGCCGCCATGGCCAATTCCACCCCGGCGAACAGCAGCAGTACGCCCAGCAGCCCCACCGGGAACTCCATCAGCAGCCTCAGCAGCGACCCCCCCAGCACCAGCCCCACCGCCAGCTTCGCCGCCCCCAGCAGAGCCACGCACGCGCCGGACCGCCCGCCGAACTTGTACTGCCCCGCCAGTCCCCCCCGCGCCGTGGCAGCACGGCATCGCCCCGAACCAGCAGCCCACCAGGTTCATCAGCCCTACCGTGATCGACACCGACGTCGCCGATGCGACCTTGTCGGGGAACAAGTCGGTCGTCAGCTTGCACACCGCGATCACGGAGTTGAGCACCGACAGCGGTAGCTGCGGCACTGCGCCCTTGATGAATCCTTCCTTCCATGCGTGCTTGGAGATCTTCACTACGTGGATGCGCGATGGACCTGCTTTCAACTCTTTCACCACGCCGGGCTCCCTTATTATAGCTAAGATTATGCCGAGCACGAAGACAACCACAGCTGAAGGAACAGAGAAGATCACTTTCCTCCAAGACTTGGCTCTTCTTCGTCCCCCGCCTTGTTCATGGATGACTTGCTCCTCCCGACCCTGTTCTGCTGCCTCACCAGCACCGTTGACGATCACAACGAACACGGTGGCCGCTATGGCCAAGACCAAGCCGTCGAGGCCCATCCAACGCCTGTCGCCGGAAGCCTTGCCTTTGGCGAGATCCTGGTCGTACCTGACGTACTTGACGGCGGTCATCGCGAAGGACAGGCCTTGAGCCAGCTGAATGCCGCGAACGACGGGGAGGGGGATGAACTTGTACGCAAGCTCCATGAGACGAGTTGCACCCAGCAAAAACACCACCGCGGAGGTGCATATTCCGGCGGCCATGATCTCCGGCACGCCGAAGCTCGAGGTGGAGATGGCCACGGCCGCGATGGACTTCATGGGCTGGACAGGCATGGGCACGCCGTAGATGACGCCGGTGATAATGTTGTAGACGCCGGTGAAGACGAGGGTGGTGCCGAGGTCGAGGTCCTTGGCGAGCGCCAGGGCCATGATGATGGGGATGTAGGTGCCCAGGTCACCCAAGGCGCCGTTGACCTCCGCCCACCTCGACCGGAAGAGAAGGTTGGCGCGGGCCGCAGCGAGGATCGTCGCGGGGATACCGCGGTCCGGCTTGTCCTCGACGGTTTCGCCATCGCAGGGGTTGGCCGCGTTGGTGGCCATGGTGCTTGTGTTCGTTCGACCTTGGTTTCGGCGTCGTCCGGTATATATATAGAAGCGAGAGCGCCTTGGTTTGGTGCTTTCGGCCGAGTGCCGATGGTGGTGGTCCTTTGGAATCATGAAGGGCCAACTACGAGAGGAGCCCAAGGGAGAAGTCGGCGTCAACTGTGGCACATTTTGGGCAGAAGGATGATGTGATAGAAGATAAAGATTTGCTCGAGCAAATTTATTGAGGAAAATCTTGAGAAAAATCTTCTCCTAATTTGTATAAATAGGAGAACGAACATATTAATATTGAAGCATTTTTATTTTTAGCTTCTTCAATAATTATTCGTGTTGAGAAAAGCGAAGCTTTGTATCATAGAAGATAAGATTTTTCCAACTATATGAGAAATATCTGTTGATGAAAATCCTCAACAGAATAAAGTTTCAATAAAGCTTCTTCAATAATTATTCTTATAATTATTCTTTATCTTCTATTCTTTTTGGGGAGATATTATTCCTCTTCTATTCTTTTCGTCAATTGCGAGATTGAATGTTGACCGGATTGATGACAGCAAGCGAAGGCAGCCGTGCTTGCCATCTCTTCGTGTTGACATCCACAAAATAATGCTTCTACTCTTATCCGGTCAACACTTTGTTCATTGTATATTAATAGTGTATAACTGCAAAATTGAATGTTCTTATCTGCGGAAGGCTCGAAGTGAGTGCCAAGCAATGAATTTTCTATCTTTGAGTGAGATCATTATATACCATTGTTGTGGGAAGATACATGCATATGCTTATGAGAAGAGAAAGACTCCACTAGAAAAGATCTGCTTGCTAAAACCATTTCTTTGCAGATTGGTCGTAATTAGATGACGATTATATTTATCAAGATAACATTGCATTTATTTGACATCATTAAATATTTACTAACCATTTGATTAAGCCAGAATTAATTATTTCATAGTTATTTTTGCCTTAATCTAAGCAATGTTTGGTGAAGTTAGTACGTGATTGGTAATATGCTTTAGATGTCACCAGCTTCTCTCTGAAAGAAATGAAACGCTAAAGCAAAGCGAAAGCAAAAGCTAAAAGCTCCAAAGTTGGGACCTCGATGCACAAGATTTGATTGCCAAGAATCCCCCTTGGCCAAAGCAAAGAATCCAGCGTTAATGTCTTTAGCTACGTGTCCCTTCACGGCTATCTTCTTGTCTGTTCATCTTTCGTGCAGCTGGTTGCGGAAGAAACCATGGCTGCAGCCATTTCCACTCTCTCCATCCTCTTCATGGTTTGGACGATCAAAGGTACCTCACCATCCTTTTGTATCTGTCGGTGATATGTGTCGGCTCCTTTGTGATCTCTGCTCTGTTCGTTGATTCAGCTGTTGATGGAGCCGGCATTGGCATCAGCTACGGCAGAGCCGCAAGCAATCTCCCCCCACCTGTCCAAGTCGCGCAGGTCCTCGCCCACAGCGCCACCTTCGACTGCGTCAAACTCTTCGACCTCAGATTCGCCCACAAATGGGTGCGAACCAACATCGTCCCTCGTGTCGACGACACCAACAACGCCCGCATACTCGTCGGCAACGAGGTGATCTCCACGGCCAACAGGTCACTGGTCTCCAGCCTCGTGCCGGCCATGCAGAACCTGCACACCGTCCTCACCAGCTTGTCGCTGCAGCACCGCATCAAGGTCGCTTCCCCGCAGTCCCTCGGCGTCCTCTCCACCTCCAACCCCCCGTCCACCGGAAAGTTCAGGGAAGGGCGTGTCGCCGAGGTGATGAGGCCGTTGCTGAGCTTCTTGAGAGCCACCGGCTCCCCTTTCACGGTGAACGCGCACCCGTTCTTCCGATTCGCCGTCGACACGGTCGACTACGCCCTGTTCCGGCTGAACCCCGGCGTGGAGGACCAGAACACGGGGCTGGTCTACTCCAACATGTTGGACGGGCAACTGGACGCCGTCTTCTCCGCCATCAAGCGCTTGGGCTTCGACGACGTCGACATCGTGATATCTGAGACGGGGTGGCCGTCGGTCGGCGACCCACGGGAGCTCGGCGTCAACGTCGATAACGCCCGGGACTACAACAAGAACCTGGTGCAGCACGTCTCTTCCGGCACCGACACGCCGCTCAAGCCGAACCGCACCTTCGAGGCGTACATCTTCTCGCTCTTCGACGAGAACCTGAAGCCCGGGCCTCTCTCCCAGCGGAACTTCGGCCTGTTTCATCCTGATCTGCTGCCCGTCTACATCGGAGTCCTAACAACAGAGGTAGAGAGCCTCGTTCCCAATAACTTCAGACCAACGCGGGTGGATCTTCTTCTCTTGTCTTTTTCTTGCAGGTGGGAGGTCACGCCACCGCTGCAGTGCAAACACTGAACCCAAACACACTCCGATTCAAAACGATGGTGCATTCCGAAGCCGAACACCGACGTCCTATTGTTGCGTAGTATGTCTGTGGGCAAGGTATATAGCGCAATGATATCCATAGTAAAAATTTATTGGGTATTAGATCATTTTTTATTAGGTATTAGATCTTCATCTAACAATCCAAACCTCTTAAATTAGTAGATCTCTATTCAATACTCTCTCATGGGTTCTTATTGGATCTCATTCATATGATCCAATAATTCATGGATATCCAATAAGATATGGGCTCTGACGGATATCTCATATCCGAATCTCTACTCATTGCTCTAGGCCAAATATCGAGCTGACCGTGAGTCATACATGTCAGAACTCCTTCTAGCTTAGTGAATTATTATCTTCATAATAATTCACTCGACTCATCGACTGCGGACGTACTTGGTCACTATGTCGCAGTCCCCAAACGATACAAGGGAATCTAATCCATTTGATATGTTTATCATCGGTTACTGTATACATATAGTCTCTCATCCATCTAATATCCCAAATACTGTATACTGGGCATGGTATCAGACCTATATGGTTTCTACTCGAGTCTCACTCTAATCGGATTCTCTCGGAGAACTCTTTTTCTCTCAATCCGAATGACTCTGGCCAGAGATTTGTTTGAGCAAGAACACATGAGACATTCCTCTCATGACACTGAGAGTGGATGATCCTCTATCGACATTCAATAGCCTTCATAAGATTGACTATCACTCTCGATAACCGGTTGTGCTAGAGCTGGGAGATTCAAACCTATAAGTTCGGTATCAAAGAGTGGAGCACTCATACAAGACATCATTGATGTCTTAAGTCTAAGAACCAGATACACCACTGAGACTACTGAATCGTTATCTAATAATAAGGCATCATAAACCATTCAGCATTCCGTAAGCAGATCAATCAGTGAACTCATTCCCCAATGAGCACCTGTATTGTATCCCTAATGTCTCCATACAAGCAACTATAAGACCAACTACATCCATCATATGAATGGATATACAACATACTAGTATGTCCGATTATCTCGATGTTCCTATCAAGTAACCTATGACCAGGATTATTTATTATCTGTGTTTAAAGACGAATCGGTCTCATTATCATGATCTCATCACGATATGATTCCCATTGCATAGATCCAAGGATATATATATATATATATATATATATATATATATATATATATATATATATATATATATATATATATTCTTAGCTTGATATGATAATCTAATAATCATCCTAAGTGTGTGTTGACTTGGCATTTTAAATAAGATTTATTATCAATAAATTTAAGATAAATGGTGATCGAGAGTGTTTGTCAAAATTTTTAGGATCCTAATACTTTCTATATCCATATGATTTATTATCATGAAACATTTTTTTGATGATATTTGATCATGTTAAATTAGTGTTGTAAATCCTATTAATTTGGGAAGTCATTTAGATGGACCAATAACAAATCCTAGAATCAAGATAATTCCCCAAAGCCGGTTTATTTTTCGGATCGGTCCATGAACCGGGTTTTAGTGATCAGTCTCATTTGGACCGCGTTAGGACCGCTGCTTAAGCCGGCAGTATCGCTTTCCCTTCACAAAACCCCAAATAGCCCGCCCTATCGCCACCTCTCTCTCTCTCTCTCTCTCTATCTCCTCTGTCTCTCTCTCTCCGCCTTCCTCAAGGATGGACGGCGGCACTTCGGGCGGTGGCGACGCCTTCCTCTCTCCTCTATTCATCTTCCTCCTCGTAGTCGTTCTGCAAACCCTCGATGGCCTCCTCGAGCTCGTCAAAAGGGTAAGCGAGTGCAGATCGGCAGGGCCAGTTCTCCCAGAATCTTTCTCTTGTTTCTGTGCTCTCCGTTGAGATAGCATGGGATTTCCCTTCACGATTCATATTTTGGGTTCTGCTCTAAGAAAGCATGGTTAACATTTAGTTATCTTTTCGGAATAATCATTGTTTTGCGGAGTAGAGTTTGATCTACGGTGAAGATCTAGCGTGAAGCGATCTTGTGTATGCTTATGGTACTCTGTTAATTGATGCTCTGTCTTATGCAATTGTGAAGGCGAACAGAATTCGTAAGCAATGAAGAACAATGTTTTGCTTGTTAGGAACTGCTTTGCTGAAATATATATCGCTATTGGAATCGAGAGATTTCCTGTTTCCTTTTCAGCATCTTACTTTCAAATGGTTAAGTTTCGTAAAATTATTCATTAACAAAAGGATAATGTTGCCTACTCTAATCTCCCAAATGGGTTATATGTAATTGAGTTTATAAACTGATGGACCATGGGCTGTCTATGTTTAAGGAAACAGTAATTATTTTCTTGTTTATCTTCTCTATTTACTTTTGCTTATTCTCTCTTTCTCTATTGCTAATTGGATTTCAACCTACTATAGTGCTCAACGTTACCTAATATGGGCTGAACATTATATCAGTTGTTATTAGAGCAAATATTTTTGGGGGATAATTTAGCTACGAGTGTAGAAGAGCTTATTTTCTAAGATGATCAAATAACAACTTGCAATTTTGTATACTAATCTTGACATTTGCAAAGCTTGATAAGTGTTGAGGTCATCCAATTTGGGAATGTCAGGCTTGCTTTGAACTACTAACTGTCTACCCACAAGATTGATATGATGTATTTATTTTGGTTGAGCTCCTATAGAGGATTTGAGACATGATGGTAGGTGTTCATTCATCAATTATGTTAATCCCCATTGGCTTAGCTCAATTGGAAGAAGAACAAGGCCTGGTCAACAATCCTCTGTCTTAATGCTAGAAAATAAATAGTTAGCTTCTTTACATACTCCATTGTGTAAGCCACAAAGTTGCTGAATAAGCCAAGAATCCACAAGATCAACATTCTTGATTTTTAGACCTAGTTGATACTGTTACATAAGAAGAGCTTCTTGTAAATGTCAAGAGGTGATGAAGGTTATACTTTTAAGAATAAATTGAGGAAATTTTCAAGGATTTGTTAATTGAATAACCTCTTTCCTTACAAGGCTAAGGCTGCATGCATTGAGACTCAGACCCAGGAACCTTATACACTGGGTGTCCCTTTATTGCGAAGGAATTGTTGATTTAACAACTATTTATTTTAAAGCATTCTCATGCATCTGCGTAACCTGCTATTGATCAAACACTTGAAACAGTTGTGTTTAATGTCATTAATCATTTTGTCTAATCCTCGAGTACTTGGCTTCTTTGTTTTGAAAATGAGCCATTTAATCTATATTTTGCAATAATAGTTCATCTTGAGGAAATGATCAACATGGAGCTAATTGATTATTATATAGTTTTCTCAGGTATCATTTAGAAAGTGTCATGATGCGTTATAGGTTGGCAGGTAGCTGCCTCTTTTGTTACTTGGGAATAAAAGGATACTTTATTAGTTTTATCTATTTAGACTGTAATTGATCGTGTAATTATGTAAGCCAGGAGCCATCTCTTTACAAGCAATGAATAAGAATTATCCAGTTTCTTTTGTGTCTTGCTCTCTTTTCTAATTGGAGGCTGAATTAACATAAGGCTATCTATTAATCCTTAAAAAATATAATGATTGTGGGGCTAGCTATTCTTGATATTTATAGAGCAATCAAACTATGGCTAAAATGTTTGACTTGTTTGTTATTGAGCAACTTTGTGATACCAGAATTCTTATTATCGACCAAAATTTGACAATGCATATGGATTATGGAGTACTCTGTTGAATATATATCTAGTGTTGGATTATTAATGAATCAGTATAACTTGAAATGATATTGCTGAAACAAGTTTGTTACATTTTTCCCAATGTTCCTTTAAGATAAGGCTTTAAGCACCACACTTTGGGGACCTGTATAGAAATTCAAATAGTTTCACTTATTGGAATTGGACTAAGATTAATATATCTCAAGGAACATATTTTCAAACTTTGAATCCTGGAACATGAAAATCTTTGTTTTGATTATTATAAGGCCTATTTTGAATGGAGGTTAACTTAATCATTTTGTCTATTGCCAGTAACTTCTTTAATCAGATTTATGAAATACTGATTTTTTTTCTTTGCTGATAGTTACTACATCACCATAATCGACTGGCTATAATTTGTTGATTGCCACTATCTTCTTTTCAGGGTTGAATTTTTTTCCAGAATGATTTAAGTTTTTTTATTTTTTATTTCCATCTATAATTCCTTAAGGTTCAGTTGCATGTATGCTGGTGCATGAAGCAAAATGTGTCTTCCCCCAGAATGATTTGTGTGTTTTTCGGTTTCTATCTATAATTCTGAAATGGTTTTAGGCATGGAGCCTCGATGGTTGGAGAATAATTTTTTTGTCAAGATGCATCCGTTTCAAAATTTCACATTTAGCTGCATGCACAGACATTTTCTGCTGCTCTGTGCTGTTAGACATTTCGATTTACACTTTTTTTCTAAACATATATTTCACTTTAGATTTTATTCTTTCTATAGACATTGAACTTCACTCTGTCATATCTACTTGCTGGTTCCTGTAAGTAAATATTTATATGTGAGTTCAACTGTGGTACAATTTTTTCCTCTCTTCTGCAACTTTTATCCCTTGCCCTTTTGTTTCTCTTTCTCGACCTTTCTTCGATCATATTGCTCTTATTTAGTGCAAATGATATTAGTTGTTCTATAAGATACTGATTTTTTCTTCTAGAATATATTTATGTAAATATGTGAATTTTGATGACTTTTATGAGGACCTTTTGAGTATTCTTGAGTAACACTGCCTTTACAGAAAGGGATGAAGAGCGCTGAAGAAGTTCAATTGCGAAAAGAAATCAAGCAACTTTTGAAAGAGGCAAGCTCCTTATCAACGTAGGTGATCAAACAACCCCCAGAAGAGATAATTGTATTACAAATTTACAGTCATTCAAATTTTTGTTTTTAGGATAGGCAGCTTCTTGTAACCCTTTATGGCATGTCAAGTCAAATATTAAGTATGGTCTCTGGCAGTTTCCTCATTATGCTTGCTTAAGTATGCATATATTGCGTATATTTTGGGAATGGTCTATTAATGTTTTCCTTTTACTGCAGGCC